GATGAAAAAGACAAGCGGTTGAAAAGCTGCGGCAGCATTTGTTCGTGAAGATATTCAATCTTGCGTTTTCGATAATAGTATGTACCCCTACCAAGTATTCCCGAACGATATTCTCGAATCATTGTCATATTTTTTGGAAGAAGTCATTTTAAAAAAAGAAGCTTCATAATTTAGATCATCCAAAGTTAGTTTGTACGAATATTAGCCACTGCATCATGACTGCTGTTGGGCCTAGAACCTTTAAATCTAAACTACAACTGAGTCTTTTAGTTTTGAAGAAGACTTAACTGTTGAAGTAGACTTTCAAGAGTATGAATCTGATTAAAATATCTAAAGAAATCAAAACAATAGTTAACCCAATAATTAATAGCAATATCAATAATCAATATCAATAATAAGGTAATATCTAGAATTTGACGGGTATTTTTCCCTTCAACTATCCTAAAATTGTCATGACAGTTAGTGTAGCCTACAGGGAAAACCACGGTAAAAAAAAACGCGCCGAGTACACTACCTCACAGGTGGCGTGGAAATGTGTGCATCTCATGTATAATGTGACTTTTAGAATCGCGATATCTTAGGAATGGTAACTCTCAAGAAAAAAATCAGAGAGAGTATTTTTGTAGAGAATTTTAAGATCTACAACTTTCGTTTAAAGTTTTTTTTTGATAAAACTTAGCGTTTTCAAGAAAAATCCAAAAACGTCTAATTTTGACCTTTGACCTCGAATAACTTTTGTAGCATACATACACTCAATGGGGATTTTTTAAACATTATTTGGAATGGTAAACTCCAGCTCTCCACCAATATTTGGCTTTCCTTACCAATTTTTGTTTATTTAGATGGCTATATTGACCGGAATATTAACATTAATTCAACTACTAACATGTAGTAGAAGATGGAGATTTAGTATACAATTAGTTAATATGTTTACCACGCATTTTGTATTTAATTGACTAAAATTGCCATCCTTTATACACACATCTTTCATATACAACTACGAGCACATCAAAGTTATTAATAAGCTCTGTCACTTTAAGTGATAAAGCAATCTCAAGTAACGGTATGCACATCGTTTTCGTAACAAAGCTTTTGAATTACTGTCACCTGTATCTCGCGCAACTGCCCCAATTATTTGCAATCCGTTACAGAAATATACCAATTAAATAGGTCTGTCATCCTTGGAACTACTGTGCTTGAAATAAATGGAGACATAGTTATTTACATCTAGGTTATTCAATACAGTGTAAGAATCATTAAATCATCGATTTTTTTATTAAATTTTTTACCAGAATAAATTTGTACACAATCTTTGCAAAATCAGTTTAAGTAATCTTTATTTAATCCCAACAAATTTTATTGACTTCCTCATTTATATCAATCAATAAAAAGTCCAAAGATTTCAATCTATGTTGCTATATTGAGATTATATCCTCAATGTGTAATAGTGTAGAAAAGTCTATAAAATTATCTTGAAACATGGAGCAGTACATTATTATTCCCTCCGATGATATCTAAAGAAAATATTGAATACGAGATTAAAATCTGTTAAAAGTACGCACACCAATAAATTATATGGTTCTCAAAAAAACTAATAACAATGACAGAACATCATTTTTTAAGTGAGTACTACAACATAAAATTGACAATAACTTAGAAATACTAAGTGATTTTAAAAAACTGTATAAAAATTAAATAAAAGGCAAAGATTAATTCTAATGACAGAGTAATCTTGACTTCAAGAAATCCTGCAAAAGCATTTGGAATATCATAAATAGACGATGAATATCTGGGGCTCTACGTCAGGCTTATAACATTACTCCAGATGAGCCTACAACTTAATAAAATATATACCTGAATTAAATATGGATTTTTTGAACAACATAAATGTAAATCCCTTAAAGAGCTTTTCCTTTTCTGAATTCTCATTTAATCAGACCCGGGAAATCATAGACAGCTTAAAAAAAGTTGTCATATGTATGGCTTAAGTGTTAGCATTATTAAGATGATAAAAAATATTGTCATAAGCCCTCTTACCCTCTAATAAATTAATGCTTTAAAGATAATACATTTTACTCATGTCTAAAAACAGCTATTATAACACCCATATTTAAAAAAGGGGAAATTTACATGCCCGAGAACTATAGGCCTGTCGCAGTGCTCTCAGTCGTCTCAAAAATAGTAGAAAAGACCATGGGTTTGCAAATCACAAGCGTGTCCCGCATCTTGGAATCCTTTCATAGAATGCAATTCATCACTGTTGTGTTTTGTGACTAGAGTACGGCATTTGATTGTATGGACCATGGGACCATACAATCTGTGAGGGTATCTGAGGTGTTGTTAATATCGTAGACGTTGCCGTCAGATGGGAGGGTCCTAAACTCATAAGTACAGCCGCCGCCAATAAAACGGCGCTGCACATTGAGACTCGATTCCTTCAGACCATGCAAACCCGATATCCTGGGAAAACATTTGTATGACACCTTTAATCCTTGGAGCTCGCGGAACATGGTGTCAGTCGAATTCTCGTGTCCTGAGAATTTTTAACTTTTCAAGGTTCGACGTCCACAATTTTATTACTAAGGCAATTCAGGGTAGTATCCATATTCATAGTCATTTTATCAGGTCTTAGCATAAGTGGCTTATGGCAATTTTACTTCGAGTGTAAGTTCCGACTTCTTCCTTTGGAGGTGTCTACACTTGTCTAGTTAGGTTTTTATCTATTGACCAGCGTAGATGTTTATTTTTGTCTTTCTATGTTTGTAAATGTTCATTTTTCTATATGTTTATAAATATTTGAAACTTTTTCTATATTATTTCCCTTCGATTTGGCTTGGTTAAGTTAGTAAGTGCGCAGTAATATTATCTGGCCAATTATCGGGCCATAAAGGTCCATACGCTACTGGTTTGTTACTTTCCGGATCGGAACGGAGAGTAACAAACCAGCAGGAGAAGGCCTGTTTTGGCTGCGTGATGAACGTAGCCACCCAGCCGGCATCGCTCGGTCTACAAACTAGGGATGTGTAGTTCACCATCGAAATAGTTCTAATGAACGATTCTTTCAACTGAACTAATTGAACTAGTTCATTAATTTTCATAGAACTAGTTCACTGCGAACGATTTGCATTATATATTATGTCCCAACTTCTAAAGAAGAAAATAATGAATGAATAAATTAGAACATATATTTATTATTTTGTGAACGGACGGACTAACTAGTTTAAAAAAAATGCCGATTAGCCTCAGATAACAGATTCATAATTCTTATGAATGTGACAATAACATTAAGTCTTATCTTAATGTCATAATGGTTCGGATCTTATGCCCATGTATTGGCTTGGATGTTGCCATGCTGTGTTGTTTCTTGTATTGTAAGTTTGAAAATAAAAATTTTAGTTGTGGTTAAAATGATTGAGGCATTTACATAAAATATAATTTTATGTAAAAGTGAGACTGAAAATGTGTTATTTAATGTTCCTAGAAAATTCACCGATTTTTTTTTTGTTAAATAACCTAGTTATAAATACCTATGAGTTTAAATATACTTAAATATAAAAAATAAATCATACTTGAACCATATTTATATTTAAAACGGTTAATAAAAAACAAATCTTAATAATTTTTTGCAAATAAAAACTAACTAATCATATAATAATTTAAAACATTTAAACCTAAACATACGATCGAAAGAAATAGTTCCGAACTACTTGCACGGTAGTGAACTAAGTGAACTAGTGAAAGACTGAAAGAAAACGTCGGTTGGCACCGATCTTGTGTAATGATTGAGACGAGACATCTGGCAACCAGTTCTGTTATGGTTGGATTTCGATGTCGGTCCTACAAATAGTTCTTTCGCGAACTTGTTCACTGAACTAGTTCATTTTTGTGAAATAGTTCTGTTGAACTAGTTCGTCTAAAAGAACTAATAAGCACACCTCTACTACAAACTAAAAGAGGTATGGCTCCACTCTGATAGCGCTCCCAGGTATACAAATTCGTTCACTGCTTTGATGACGTCGTCTTCTATAACAATTGGTCGTAGGATTTGTGGTTGCGTGCTTATTTTTATAAACTTCGTTTTGTTGGTGTTTATTATTAAAGCTATTTTTGTAGCTGATTCTTTTAATGCTACAATATTGTTCTCCAAACAACATTGATATCATCAGCATAGGCAAGGATTTGCACTGATTTAGTATATATACTTAATTATGGAAATTAATTAGTGGAAATTAATTAATTAATTAAATTAATTTTGGAAATTAATTGTGGAAATAAACATCAATCACTAAGTGTTTATAGGAACTTACAGTATATTATAAGTCTGTTAGAATATGTCACTAATTTGTTTTTTTTTTTTGGAAGGTCCTTTTACGAATACAAGGGCTACTATCACAGGTCTGATTATCGAATTAAGATAAGTCGATTTTACAGATTATCTTTGAAATTTATCAACAAAATATAGACTATCAAAAAGTCAAGTTTCCTGTAGTTTTGATAAAAGAAAATTACTTATTTTATAACTGTGCGCTAAGAAAATGTTAAAAATGAAAAAACCTAAAGTTATTAATATTTGTTAAAAAATTTGTGCATGCTAGGTGATTATTTTATTATTAAAGTTAATGTTGACACGTAGTTGATTCGCAGATTGGTTCAGACAAGCTCTATAGCTTCCTATCAAGGTCAAGTCAACAAAAATGACCGCTTTATATCAGTATCATAGCTAAAATTAAATATATCGTAAGCTAGTATTAAAGTATACATATTAGCTGCAATTCATTTAAGAAGTAAACGACAACTCCTTTAAACTTGTACAAAAATGTACAATAGGTTAAAACGATACACTCCTTTTATAGAAATCCGATGAAATCCCAGTAAAAATGTATGAAACCGATCATTTAGTAACGCCTATTCAAGTTAGTAATTACAAAGATAGCGATTCATGACAACAATAGCACATTATGTGTATGATGATCAATTATTAGTATAAAAGAATAACAAAAATGGGGCAACATCCTTCAAAGGATAAATTCGCACGTTCTGCATCAGAAAGGATCGACAGGAAAGAAAAATATCCTGGTACTATTGGAAAGGAAAGATATTCTGGAACTATTGGAAAAAAAGGTACGTACTTTAGGGTTAAATCGATAATTTCTTTGGTGTTAATTTGCTTATTATAATGTATTTCAGCTTGAATTGTAGCAGACTACAAGTACGTCATTGTATCGTATGGATTTTTTTATAGTTTTCATTAAACGCAGTCAATATTAATGTATTGACCAGACAGTATCTGTTTTGGGTCGGATAAATCGCTTATGATCCGATTTTTTGCTTTATTGACTTCGAAATATATTATTAGAAACGATAATTTTACTCTGCGGACAAAAAGGCTTTCTTCATTTCTTCACATTTTGTCTTCACTTCCTCTTAGAACCATGGGTTTTTTTATTATGTTATTGTTGGTTCAAGTTGATATTCAAGCCTTCATGGAATTGCAAGGAAAAATATTTGGAAAGCGAGGTCCAGGAAGAAGAAGAACCTCTTGGTTAAAGAACCTCAGAATCTGGTTCAATAAAACATCTGTGCAGCTTTTCCACGCTGCAGAAGATAAGATAAAGATTGCCATGATGATCGCCAACATTCGTAACGGATAGGCACATCAAGAAGAACAATTGTTAATTTCTTTCCTTTTTCCAAGTGATTCTGTTGCTACATTAATTATGTTATTTTTGTGTATTTCCCAGCTTTACTCGATGTTACCATTTTCTAATATTTCTTTGCCAGCGATCAAGTCTGATATTTTTTTCTGTATAAAGATTCCGTATTTAGTCCTTTGACTTTTGATTTTTGTTTGTGTTGGCACTGCTCTCTTGGTTGTGAAGTATTTCATGATGATTCTTATTTTACACAATACTAGGCTATGGTCGCTAACTACATCTGCTGAGTTGAGGTATCTTAGGTCGATTATTTTTGATGAATGTATATAACTGTCAAAAAGCAACTTAAATATTTAAACTGCCCAAGAAAAATAATGGGCTTATTAGCCGGTGGTGTATGCAGTTTTTAGTACGTGTCGTTTTAGGTTTCCCAATATCGTATAATCTATTGCATAGTATATTAAGGCTCGCTATATATATGGTGAGTTTTACAACTTTAAGTCGCTTCTTGCATCCCAGGCTCCATCGTTTTTTTCATCCAGTTTCCTTCGTTGAGACCTACCTCTAGTTCTTCCTCTGTAGCAATTTTTAAACCTTCAACGGTATTCTTTCCATATCCAAACGTTGCAGATGTCCATACCATTTCAACTGATTTTCATCTATGTTGACCAGTATCGTATTGTCAACCTCCATATTTCCTCTAATAGTTTCATTTCTTGCATGGTCCAGTAAACTTAAACTGCAACATCTTCTCCAGTATATTATTTCGGTTGGAAGAAGTTTTTGTAACATATTCTTATCTACATCCCACGCTTCTGACTCATACGTCATTACGGTCTCAATCAAAGACTGATATATTTGTCTTTTTGTTTTTTTGTCAGATTTTTACTCCACAAGATTTTATGTAGTGCTTTGATAATATTTTATCTTTACATCGAGTATATATCGTCGGTTTACAAGCGAAACACACTAAGTCAATTTTTTACACTTTTGAGTTATTTGCTAGTTAAACTCACTAAGTCATACAATAACAAAATCGGTTATTTTCATAATTATCATGTTTTTCACTAAGTCTCAAAAACTATATATAATTCAGGCAAAACATACTAAGTGACTTAATGTATTTCACTTGACTACGAATGAACCTACCGACTGACTTACGCGGCGAATATAGTGGAATAGACAAAAGGGGCCGTAGGATTCCTGGCAATAAAACTTCAGTGGAAACAAGAATAAGAGCAAAAAACACATTGAAAGCTTTCCTGTTGTAGAAAGTCACTACACTAGACAGTCTTCGAAAAGACTTTATTTAGATTGCAATCTTAATATTAAAAAAATGCACGACCTGTTCGTTAAAAAGTGTAAAGAGGACAATTTGCCAAGCTTAAGTCAAATAACTCATAGGCGAATCTTTTGCAAGGAATTTAATATATCATTTTTCAAACCTAAGAAATACCAATGTTTGACCTGTAAGGAATACACAAAAGCATCGCAACAAGAAAAAGAAGCGATGGATCTTAATTATAGGAGTCATTTAGATAGAAAAGAGGCTGCAATGAAAGAAAAAAATTCATACTACTACAAAGAAGTATCGAAAAATAATAAAAAATTTAAATCAATTACATGTGATATGCAAAGCGTTTTACAAATTCCATCATCGCAAGTAAGTCTCTTGTATTATCTTAGAAAGCTGAACCTCTATAATTTTACAATTTATGAATCTGCTCCACCAAATGAGGGCATTCTGTTATTTTTGGACCGAAGTCAATGGTAAGCGTGGAAGCTGTGAAATTGGTACTTGCCTAGGAATGTAGATTAATTCATTATCTGATATAGAACATCTAACGATTTTTTGAGATACGTGTGGAGGACAGAACAGAAATATTCAAGTATCTGCTCTGCTTTTACATATTGTTAAAAACCATCCGAGTCTTCGGATAATTGAGCAAAAGTTCATGGAAAGTGGACACTCCTATATGGAAGTAGATTTTTAGTGTTCACGAATATGAAAATGTCTTTAAAATGGCCAGAATGGGCAACAATGGGAATAAAAAAATCTTCCTATAATACTCGTGAAGTTAATTATAACGAATTCTTAGATTTGAAAAAACTTGCACAATATACTATTGTTAATAAGAAAGAGGATCAAAAAGGGCAAACGGTCAACTGGTTAAAGGTAAAGTGTTTTAAGTATGAGAAACAGTTTCCTTACATTCTACAGTACAAGTATAATTTTCACGACGACTATGAAAATATTAACCTTAGTTTTGTACGTCGTGCTTCTAACAGAACAGTCAAAGAGGATAATACTAATGAAAATTTGGTTATTCCTCAATTATATTCTAAACAGCTTCCAATTTCGGATGCAAAGGAAAAATATTTGATAAAGCTCTGTGAAAAAAATATAGTTCCGCAAGCGCTCCATACCTGGTTCAAAAATCTACCAAGTTCTTCTTCTATTCGAGACCAAACAGCGGAGTCAGTTGAAAAGGACTCTGACGAAGAAGACTCTGAAAATATATTTTTATATATTTTATATATATTCGCATATTTTTTTTTGTTATACACGTTTTGTTTTGTTATACCTGTTTTTTTAAACAATGTTCTTGTTTTGTGAAAATATACATGAAAAAAGTAAAAACGTATATAAGCAAAAATTATTGTATTATTTACAATGTAAACGAAGCCTGCAATAATCGTATGACAGTAAGCAAATAAAAAAATACACTTAAGTCATACTGTCATAGCAAAATTAAACAAGTAAAACACACTAATTTAAATGCTACATGTAAAAAAAACATTAAGTCAACGTATTCAAATCGAAAATTAAACAAATATTAATAATTTGGTAATATATAATTTACTTCTCCTCGTCAGTAATCATTACTAATACTTTATGAAAACTTTCGTATAATTACAAAACAACAAATAAAAGTTTTAAATGTGAAAATTGATCAAACTGTTTTTAAAAAAATTTAAAACACGATTATCTCAAAACTATATTTTTTGACTTGGTGTGTTTCGCTTGTAAGCCAACGATATGCAATAGATAATACGATATTAGGGAAAAAAAGAAATCAATCAAAGGAAGAAGTACCATAGAAAGAAAATTAGAATGGACGAGAACAAACTAGTAAGCAACCCAATTTGGCAAAGGCCAAAAACGAGGAAGAATATGTATGGGTAGTCTTAGAAATAAGTAGATAGGAAAAATCCAGAAAATCGGAACCAAGAGAGGAAAAACAATGCAACAAATAAAGTGGCAGAAGAATGAAAGAAAATATGTTGTTACCTTACGTGGTCTTGCCGACCTTGTATTGCCATTGTTGTTTTCTTTTAAGCCTTTTGAGATTTAGTTTGTGATCCACTTATTTTTATCCCATTCGATATTTTGGAAAAAGAAAGTGTTGGCATCGTCAAATTACTCTTTTACGGTAGTTCATACGGTAGTTTTCAATGTCATATCAGAGACATTTTTCAATGTCATATGAGAGTAATGAAACAACTTTACGATAATTTTCTTTTTGTTGCAGGGTCTGCTAAAAAACGAGCAGATGTGGTACAAGTGACACAAGTGTTAACAGCCAATAAGCTGCCAGCAAGGGCGCAACAAAACACTGCAGCTGAGAGTAAGTTTTTGATCTATTAATTTTATTAGTTTTGAAGTGTATAGACAGTATATTTACTAATTGTCAGCTAATTCTGCTCTATCATGAGTTGTTCGCAAAATAATAATTCAAATCCAAATAGTTATCTAGTACTTAGTCAATGTTTTGTTAAGCTTGTAAGTGGGAATCTATTAATTTATATTGTCGAGATTATTATATCGTTGTACAATAAGTAACTTGCCCCTGCTAACTATAATTAGTATGTCTGAACATTATAAAGAAATGTCAAACTGTCACAGTGTCATAAGAAACAATGTAGAAGACGAGATACATGCTCAATCAAGAATTAAAAATAGCCATTATGATTGCCAACCTCTGTAGGGAGACGGCATTCTAACAAAGAGAAAATCAAGAAATTTTAGATGAACATCTAACACGAAAACTAATTAAACTAAAAACGTGGATGAACGATGATATTCAAAACTAAAAACCAGATTGGATGCAATGGAATAAACAAGAAAATAAAGAATGTGCTAGAACTTGCTGGGAGCTGGAATTTCTGGATCATTCTATTAGAAACGCACAGTAATACAGGACTCCTTCCCAGTCCTGTATATGGTCTACAAAACTAGTAAAAGAAAATTATTAAGACAGGATACATTGCAAACGTTGAAAGAGAAACAGCAAAAATACTTCGAAATGAATCAGGAGAAGCAACAAGGTGAACTAAAAAAAATATAGGACCTCTCTCAATATTTAACACGAAATGTATGAAGAAATATTGCAAAAATTAATAAACGACATAACGTAAACGACAAGAATGATTTATGGAAAAAATAAAAACCCGAGAAAAAGTAAACTGAAAAAAAAACATTGGAGTTAACGAAACAAAGAAGAAGAATGTCGAAAGAACTACCATACTATACAGCTATCACCAATAAAGTTAAAAAGAGCAAACTTACAGGCTTAAAATACAACTATGTCTTACGCTATATTCTTCCAAAAATTATTTATGTTTAAATCATCCGATATTTGAATCTGGAAAATAGTAGAGATGGGTTTCTGAATTTTAGCCTATTTCTTTATCATTTGCCTCTTAAAGAGAAGAATGGTAAGGTTCATAAACTAAATCAACTGAAGGGTCCAGGGGAAAAACGGCATTAGTCCATTTTTTCAACAACTGAGGTCACCATTGATTTTTGTGGTACTGTTAGGTTATTGTCAAGTAGTGATACCGTTAATCTATAAAAACAGCATAGATCCTTAAAATAACCATTATAAGATTTACTATACGGGGGAAGAATGGCATGAGTCCGTGCGCGTGTATGGAAAAAGGGCATCAGTCCCTGTTATCAGTTGGTGTCGGTAAGTCAATTGTTGCATCAGCCGTTAGTTTACCACTCATAACCACGTGCATCTGTTGTATATTGATACGTTGTGCATATTTCTGTAGTGTAAAAGTTTTTAAAAACACAAAAATTATCATGGATAGTGACTATTCAGTGTCCAGTGAAAGTGAAACTGGTCTATCAAGCAGGGAAACGAAGAAAACGTAAAAGAACTGGCAGAGGGCGAGATGTAATGAAAATTTTACGTGCCACAACGCATGAATTGGGACCCGACTGTTTTTGTAAACGTTTTAAATGTTTTACTGTGGTTCCTGAACCTGAACGGTATAGAATAATTCGCGAATTTAATAAATTAGGTAACACTGATGCACAAAACTCTTATATTAGTGGTCTAATCAGTGTTCTTCCTGTCAACCGCAGGCGACCTAGAAAAAACGCTGAAGAATCTAGTGCTTCCTTTAGTTATCGTGTTCGAATAGTTGAGGATGGAATTACTCGTGATGTTTCAGTATGTATTAAAGCTTTTTTATCTTTCCATGGAATCACGGGACGTCGAGTTAGATACGTTAGAGACTCCCTGCTTTTTAATGGGAAAGCACCTATCGATATGCGAGGAAAACATAATTCGCGACCTCACAAACTTTCTGAAGTCACAAAGCAAAAGGTGATGGAGTTCATTAAAAGCTAAAAGGACGCAAATCTCATTATTCTTTAGCAGACTCAACATAGTGAAATTACACAAAATGTATTTCGAAACAAACGTTGACAATAAAATATCCTACGAATCCTTCCGTGACATTTTTGAGTCAAATTTTAATATATCGTTCGGATATCCACGAAAAGACACTTGTAGCACGTGTGACTCCTTAAAAGCCGACATATCATCGATAACTACATTATTAAATTCTACTTCGGACCTTGAAACTAGGAAAACAACAAGTAATGATATAGAAAAAAAAGACACGTGAAAGGAATCTACATCTAAAAAAAAGTGAGCGATTTTATAGTCTAAAAAGAAGTTACCGCAAACGTGCTTCAAAGTCTTCGACCATGGAAGGTATAAGCATGGATTATCAAAAAAACTTACCATGTCCAAATATTACAACCAACGACGTATACTATAAACGTCAACTAAACTTCATCAGTTTCAACATTCATATTCTGTCGGATTCAAAATCTGTATTTTATACCTACGATGAATTTGTTGCTAAGAAAAGAGCTGACGACGTTTGTTCCATGCTGAATCACTTTTTTTATAATATTCTGCCCATGGAAGTAAAAGAACTAGCTATTTTTTGTGATGCCTGTGCAGGACAAAATAAAAATTTTACTATCATTCGATTCTTGCATTACTTAGTTACAAGAAAAATCGTTTTGATATTGTGAAAGTAATATTTCCTATTAGAGGGCATTCATATCTTGAATGCGATCGAAACATGAGCCTTGTCAATCAGAAAGCATATACTGAGGTACCAGAGGACTGGAGAGACGAATTGCGAAATTGCCGTTTGAAACCTACACCATTTGAAGTGATTGATTGCAGTTAAAATTTTGATTTTCAAAATTGGATTTTATTTTTATCGCCGCTATATCCAACGAAGTGCCCTTTCCCAACTCGGCCAATCAGAATGCTTAAATTTTGCAGCAAGGATAACCGGTTAATTTTCCATAAATCTACGTAGGTATATGGGTTTGTATTATAATTCTAAATTCGAAACTAAACCGATTAAGGCGTGCCGCAAAAGGACACAAAATAATCACAATAAAAAAGAAGTAGGAACATTACGAAAACTTTATCAAGGCGCAATTCCTATTAAAAAATCCAAATGGAAAGATCTGCAAGATCTAACTGCATTCCTCGAGAAACCAGAATCCAGGTTGTTTTATCAACAATTAACAGTAGTTTTGTCGAACAATCTGGAGAAAGCGATGACGAATTTGTGGACGATCCGCCAATAGACGTCTAATATAGAAGAAAAGTGGCACGCAACTGTCTGTATTATATATTTTTTTTCTACCTCATTTATTTTAATAATAAGGTTATTTTTAACGTTTTTTAATAAAAAATATAATATTTACCTAAAAATATTATTTTTGATTATTTTTCTTTATATTTGACTTTATAATAAGTCTATAAATCTTAATTTTCAATTTTCTCGAAATAAATCCAAATGGACTATTGCCGTTCTTCCCCTGGACTCTTCAATTAGTTTTTCCCAACGACTCTATGACATATAGCCACGAATAACTAAGTTCTATTACTGTAATTATATAATTCTCGAATTTTCTTTTGGGTCATTCATCAATTTGCCTCTAGGTGAATGCATCTCTTATGAAAAAAAAATTATTTGTCGAAAACTTCTCACGAAAAAAAAATATGAAGAATGCGCTTGAAGTCGTAACATAGGTTCACTGCAGGAAGTACCATCCATCACCATCACCGATTTACCAACACCAGTTTCGTCATTGACTGCAACACCAATGGCGTACCACCACAAAAGTCTTTCTGATATTTATCTTACTTTTTTACTCTATAAAAGTATTTCAATACATGGATATTGATTTTAAAGCTTCATAGGACTTGGTGGTTAAAAAACTTCTCAGGATTTAAGAAAAAATGGAAATGGCAGAGAAAATAAACAGATTGAATAAAATTGGGACTAAAAGAAGGAAGAAATATAGAAAAATGTAGAGTAAAGATGGGAGAGCTTTAAGTATTTAAGGCAGGGTTCCTCCAAAAAATGTGTTTTTTTTTAAATAAATTTAATTTATTGTACAAAAAATAGGCAACTAAAAAAAACAAGTGATGGTGACTGCCATCGTTTCTTGGAAACGAATCATCCGAAAGCAAAAAACAAAATGGTTTCATATTCTGGATCGAATTAGCTATGAAATATTTTCACAAAAAAAATGGCGGAGTTTTAACTTTTTTAAATATCAATTAGTATTTTTGGTTGTAGAACCGACCATAGAGGAACATCTAAAGAGTAAAATGCCGTTTGGTTTATATTCATAAGTGCAATAGTTTCGAAATGCAAGTCACACTTAGTTGAAAAAAAAAAGTGTTTTCGAGAGAAACCCATTAAAGTAAACAGCTGCTATCACCTGGCCCCAGATTAAACGATTGACGGGGGCCTTCGTGGCTAATTCTATACTAATTTTGATAGTTTTTTGTAGCAACTTTTGAAAAAAAAATCGATTTTTTGAAAATTGTTTGAAGGAACCTGGCCTTAAAGGATTAAGATGAAGTCCGACTGACTTTAAAACTAGAAGTTATCATCACAAACCTTTAATTAATATTAATGGGATCTTGCCTAAATAAAGTTATCAGAATTAGTTTTAGACTGAATTTGTGTTGACTATTTTTGTGTTGACAGTTTTGCCGAACTCTGCACTATTATAAGCGTCGAACCTTATGTTGTGGAGTCAAAGGTAACACCAAAGGTGGACGGTAAGCTCTTAGTCTCATTCCAAGTAATTTTTGATTAACTGTTCTTGTTGAGACTACCCTCCCTAAAACTACAACTAACTCATCTCTTACTTAATGTGCACTGTCCCGTCTATTTCTGAGAGCAAGAACTCTAGAAACTCTAGAACCCTAGAAAGAACTTTGAGAAACTTTTCCACCACCTTAGAACAATAAAAGAACCCACCAGTGAAGAAAGTTCAGGT